TCAGGACAAAAATTGAATTACATGAATCTTGTATACAGGGATACAGTAATTAAAATTTTGTTGTCAGTATTGATTGTTGTTGAACGTTCAATTGTGAAAGAACATACGCGAGTTTGTTCGATTAAATCATATGGGATGTTTTCAAGTGTATTTGTTTTCTACTTCTTCGTCCAGCTTGGTTCAGGCTCGATCGTAAGTTGAAGCGTCTATAAATATAAAGTGACCGAAGTGTAATACATTCAAGGATATTGAAGGCTGCGTGCCATAGAACGAAAGATGATCTCGATAATTATTTTTGAGAGACTTTTTGGATGTTGTATAAAAAAATTCTATTTTATGCATTATTCATAAATTAAATCAATAGTTCGAAATAGTATATATATAATATTCGTCTTTTTATTTATGCCAAATGATATCAACTGTTATCAAGTGACAACAATAAAATTGTCTATATCAAATTTTACAAAAAATAATATAAAGTGTATATAATATAAAGATACTTTTATTTTTTTTCGTAAAAATATTATATTGATATTGAGAATTTTCGAAACTTTAAATCTTCTCGGTTTTGAGTGAATCTTTGTAGAAAAAATTTCGTCTTGTATTGTCTCGTTTATGATTTTATTAATTTTTATTTAATATACTGAACTATTATTTTTAAAATAATCTTTATAATATGTAATAATTTATATATAAGATAATTATTTATACTATTTATGTCATTTGTTTACTTTTCAAAACATTATATATGTATTTTGTTAGCTTTATAAAAAAAACAATTGCATACAATAATATCAGAACAGAACGCGGTTCACGCATACACAATCAGAGAATCGCATAAATGTGACGCATGCAAAATTTTACACAGCTAAACTATTTTGTAAAATTTTATATTGTTTATTAATTGATTCTAAACTTTTTATTTATATTAAGTAAAACTTTAATTTCATATATATAATATAGTGTGATTTTTTCTGATTTGCAAATATACATATTTTAATTTTTTTCAAAATAATAATCTTGACAATTTTAATCTTGATAATTAAAAATCTTGTCTCGAATTTCGAGGCAAAACAAGGCAATATCAAGAATCTTGATATCTCGTGCAACTTTAATTCAACTCTAACATATGATATCTAAGTCATGAAAACCTCCTCTCAAATTACCCAACCGATCGTGGGAGGAGGTAATGATACCTAATTCCGAGATGAAAATAATTCCGGTCGTTTCGGAAGGGTTCAATGACGTCGTCGGGAGTATTCATTTCTATATACCTCGTGACAAAAGCGTAATGCGGACGGATAGCGAGACATATAGGTTCGATCTATGATGGATCCAATTGAGAAAAAGGTTGTCCCTGTCGCGTGTTCGCGCTTATAGTCATATGTGGCGGGTACCGACTAATTGCCAAGGTAGCGAGAGCTCTTAGAGTCGCAGCCTCATCAGCCGAGGCTGAATGACGTCGTCAGGCGGAGAACGGGGGAGAACTCGAGAGCACCCGGTATACATTCGCACATGCATGCGGCGAATGCGGAGCTGTGTGTGTACAAGCCTCGAAAGCCCGGCGCGTTTCATCGATATCGCTCGCATAGGCTTACCTAGGTACGAGCATCGAATCGATCTTACACCGTCAGCGGTATCGCTGCAAGTTAACCCGGACTGCGAACCACGAGGAGACGCGGGCACACGCGAGCGGAATATCAATCGCGGGGATCGAATGCTTTTAAGGAGCAGCGCTGGCCGCGACTTGGATCACTACGATCATCGCCGGATCTCGTTGCGTCTCTCGCGGAACATCTATGAAAATCGAAGCCGTGCATAAGTGTGCCTTCAGCTTTCCTAAACGCGCGCGATACGAGTGGTCAGGTTCGATAGACCATCAATATCGAACGAGATAATCGCGATCTGACCTTAAATATGCATGCAAAACTATTTTGAATTTTATCGCGAGAAATGTCAATATTGAACGTCAAATTTTTATTTTCGGTATTTCCCAAAAAAAGCTACACAAATTTCTTATGAATCATATCAATCGTATTCTGGAAGAGAATATGTGCGATATAATTGTTTCATGGATCACACAGTTTTCATCTCGAGATAAAATCGCGACGATCGAGTACAAGTCCTTTTCCCGAAAACGCGATCGAATCAAAGTCAGATACGCACAGTTGGTGAATTTACGGCGACGGGGGCGAGGAAAAGGGTTCGGGGACGCACGGCCGAACATAAAATATGCAACATTCTTCTTCCGGACAGCCGCGGAGCGAAACGTGTGCATGTGTGTGTGTGTGTGTGTTTATATATATCAACCGACACACGCTCTTTCCGCGATCTTTGGTATAAGTAAATTGCACCTGTGCGAAAGAAAGAGGCGCACACACTCGTACCTCGTCACGTGACCGTCGTCGTAGGTGAACGTGTCCTCGTACTTGTTTCTCATTATTGTGCGCGACGTAGAGTATAATTTCGCTTTGGGTCAACTGACCGCTAGAAACGCGGACAAACCGACCGGAGGGAATAAGTGCCCGTTCACGATGGCATCTTTCTCGTTTTATCTCTCGTTAATCTTTCAGAGCGCGGTGCGTATTTTCTTATTAATTAACAAAGTCACAAGGACATCGGGCGACTTTAAACCATCCTTGAAATCTTAATTCGCCCTTTGTCTCTCTTACTCGGTTTTGGATTAATTTTCAGAAACGGTGATTTACAAACCGCCCTTATTTACACACACGTGCGTCTTGTGGATCGTAAACATTAGCTGAAATAACTTGAGATTAATCTTTATCCGCTTGTCGGGGACGATCGATAATCTATTATATTCCCTTGTATTTCCACAAGCGATATTTGGAGAGACGCGGACATTTCTTGATCTCCTCGAGCATTCGCAAAGTAACGCCAGTTTAATGAAATCAACGAGGGTGTCGGGACAGAAGGAAAGAAATAACCAGCTAATTAGGTGATGTTTGGTCTTTGAGAACCGAGACAAACTTAGGCGCGCGCTAGGGCGGATGTCTCGGCAACGAAGGCGATGGAGTGGCGGAGTTTCGCGATGAACTCAAGAGAGAATCGAGAATGGGGGAAGAAAGGGGGGGTTGAAGGTGGCCGGCAACGGTGGGTTAAGAGGGGCGATGGCGCAAGGATGGAGACCGCCGAGACGAAAGGAGGCGAGAGAGCGAGAGAGGAGGAGGTGGGCCGCGAGAGAGGAGGACAGGGCGAAGGACGAGGTGTCCGCGGGGGCGGATGAAAGGACGCTTACCAGCTACTACCTATTGATCGCCAATTCTTTTTCTCTTGTTGCATATTAGGCGCACTCTTCCTTCTTTCTCCTTGCCCGTCTCTCTCCTTCTTTCGGCTCCCGCCCGATTTCTCTCTCTCTCTTCCTCCCTTCGCCTGTGGTGCGCTCTCTCACCCCTCCTTCCCTTCCCCCCCTGGTCGCGTCTCGCAGCCAACCTGCCCCCTCGCGGACGTAGAACGCGCGAATCCGCCCCTATAACCACCCTTCCGCGTACTCCCCTTCCTCATCCTCTTCCTCCTCTACTTCTCTGCTCGTGTCGCCTCACCGCGAGAGAGTGCAGGCCGTCCCTACCACTCATCTACTACTACCTACACCGCCGGTCCTGACGCTCTTCTTACCGGCAATGTTTCATTTCGAGCAGCAGCAGCAGTAGCCTGCCCGTTGGGGCCGGTGGCCGCCCACACTTTACTTTTCTCATGCAGGTGCAAAGGCAAAGTCGCGACGAAGTTGTAGACCAAATAGGCCAAACTTATGCATGCGAGGTTAAATAAAGCGCGAGAAGTTTAACTCGAGTCTTTTAAGAATGCAATGTAACACGACATCTTTCCCCGAGTACAGCATTTAAGAAAGAAAGGGATAGGGACAATTATCTCCAAGATGCGAGAAATTTGGCTGCATATCCAGACCGACGTTCTGACCAAGCACGTTCTCGTTTCTGTTTCAGATAGCAAGCGGCGATTTGCCGCGGAGCGTCTTCGCGTGAGGCGACGGAAGGCGAGAGAAAGGTGCGAGGAGCCTCCGATCGGAGAAAGGAGGATTCGGCGGAAGAAAAGGTAGAGGAGGGAGGGAGGGCGGCGGAGAAGGACAGAGGGAGATAGACTCGCCGGCGGCGACAGACTGCACTCTCGTGACGCTCAGGGCGCAAGCGTGCACGTGTGTTGTGCGTTTCCGTGCCCTAACCCTGTCCCGCTACCTGGGAGGAGTAGCGTGGTCGTCATCCCTCCGCGGCTACATCCCCACCTCGCCGCCGTTGCCGTCGTTGCCGCCACCGATACCGCCACCGCCAGCGACACCGACGCCGACGCCGCCGTCGGCTCGCCATCCCTCCGACGCTCGCGGAAGAGCGCTGCACCGCGTCACGGCCGACGAAACGACGGCGACGACGACGACGACGACGACGACGACGACGACGACGACGACGACGACGACGAGGACGACGACGACGACAACGACGACGACGACGACGAGGACAAGGACGACGACGACGGCGACGACGACGACGACGACGGCGACGACAGAGCCGCCACTATTGTTGCCACTAACATTGCACGTGCGGCTTGCAACGATAACAGCAACAACAACAACAACGACGACCACGGTGTCTCCGGCTGTTCCTGTCGCCGCGATACGTCACGCGTGACGTTGCACACCCGTTAGCGCGGCGACGTGGACACGCGCGCTACCCTTCTCCCTCACGCACGTCTCACGCTTACGGCGCGCGTTGAAAGACAAGAGAAACGTCGACAGCGGAGGAGCAGAGGGAAAGGAGGGACGGAAGGTGGTCGACGTGGAGGGAGCGAGGGTTGACGGGAGGAAGGAGGAAATCGGAAAGAGACGCGGAAGGGAAACTAGGGCCGTAGGGGTAGAAGGGGGGTGAGGCAAGAAAGAGGAGAAGGAGGAGGAGGAGGAGGTGCGGGAGAACGGCGACGAGGACGACAACGGCGACGACGACGACGACGACGAGGACGGAGGAGCGCCGGCGGTGGAGGGGGTGGACATCCACGCGGGAACACGAGGCAGGCGCACCCGGCCGGCACGCGCACACACATCCTAAGATGTGATTTCAAAAATGGCGGATTGCCCCTATGCCCGCTGCATACAGGAACGCAGACACATCCGACGGGAGCTGCTGCGATGGACAAAGAATATGGTCTTCGTAGTCGGTGAGTAAAGAGTCGTGTCGTTCCTCGACAGGACTTTGCCTACTTTTGCATGTCGTAGTACACGGATATGCACACGCATTGCGTGTGCGTGCGTGAGCAAAACATCCGCGCGGGGACACACGCGTGCACCAGCATGCGCGACCGACCGCTCGCGCGCGCAAGAGGCGTGTCGTCAGCTTGTTGCGTGGGTGTACACATGTGTGTCGTGATAAATTTATATATATATATATATATATATATATATATATATATATATAAATTGGAGAGCCTGTATACGTACATAGGTTTGCCTATGTTCCGCATGGCGATTTCCTCTGTGTGGATGTAGTGTACGAGCGGGTTCTCTATCAGTGTGCGAACATGAAGAGCGAGAAAGAGAGATCGAGTGAGAAAGAGAGACGAGACGAGAAAGAGAGAATGGGGAGGAAAAGAGAGAGAGAGAGAGAGAGAGAAAGAGAAAACACGCTGGTGGTTGAGACCTGTTGCGAACCGAAACGCCGAATCCTGGCTGACTATGTGCCAGGCGTGACTCCTACTCGCGCCTGCACGTTCAACAGGGTGGTACCACGTTGCCGGAAAATCCGATAATATTCTGTGAGTAGTTTCCCGTGCGGTTTCAAGTTTTCGTGCGTGTATTTTGGTTGAGGAACCGTCGTCGAGCGAGAGAGAAGCGACTGGGATTTCTACGTCTTACGGGCACCGTATTACAAACGTACTCGCATTATGCGTGAATTAAATGACGCGTGGCGCGATCGCGGTTGAAATGATTGCGAATATATATTTTTCACGTATATTTTCGTGAACGAAAATCCCGCACGCGAATATATAATTGCTCCTTTTCCCGAGAACGGTAATCGATATCCGGTCTATATATAATTAAAATTCATTCTCAACGGCGCTCGATACATTCACCGTTCGATTCACCCCACGTCCAGAACGAACTTAGCAACAGAGAAATAAAATTGCGGTGGTTAGAGCCGGGAGGTTACGCGGTCTTTGACCGTTGGTTGGAATAACGCCCAAGATTCAAGCGAGGAGGACCGAAAATCGAAATTGGAAGAGAGAGGAGATTATCGCTGGGAAAAGAATTGGGCGTCGCGCGCGCAATTTCCTGTGCAGATGAAGAGGGTGGCGAGATCGGGCTCCACGACCCTTCCGCGTCGACGGCGCTCACCCCTCGGTTCGGCCTCGCCGAGGGGTAGCAGGCGCGGGCATCGTCAGACGCGCAGAAAATACTGCACAAGCTGCGTGCCTTGACCACAGACAACCCCCGAGGAGCGATCCCGGCCGCCGCCCGAAACCTTCTTTTCTTCTTCTTACGGCCTTCCGTCCTCGTCCCCCTCTTCGGCCCACCCTCTATCCTATCCACCCCCTCGACGTCGTCGTAGTCGTAGCCGTCGCCGTCGCCGTCGTCGTCGTCGCCGCCGTCGCCGCCGCCGCCGCCGCGTTTCTCCCCACCAGCCCTCCACGACTTCCCCTTCTTCGCCTTTCGGTTAGTTCGTCAAGGGGGCGAGCTCCGGTAACTCGCGGAAGGCACGTTTCCGCACGCGTCGCTGTTGCGTGCACTCGCCGTTACGCTTCTTCCTCCACTTTTGTGACCTCTCCCGTCTCTCGCGCCCTCAATCGTCCCCCCTCCCCCTCCCCTCTATCTCTCCCCTCCTCTCGCTCGCTCCTCATTTCGGAACGCAGCTGCCGCTGGTGGTCGAGAAATTTTCGCGAATCCTTCCTTCGCGAGACACCCTCCCACCCCTTCCTTTCGCGATCCTCTCTCCGTCGCCCCTTCCTCCTTTCTCATCCGTACATCGCCTCTTCGTGGGCGAAGAGGTCCTAAAAACGGAGGCCGACGGAGCGCGGAAGTTGGACGGGGTGAGTGGAAGGGAGGAGGGGGAGGCGGAGGGAAGGTGGACAGCGTCGGAAAGGGGGCAACACGAGTTGCGTGTGTGCGCCGCGCGTTCCTCCGGCCTTTCCTCCCGAGACTTCCACGATCTTGGAGGATCGACCGACCAGTGCGCGTTCGGGAAAGGGTGACGGAGGGTGGAACCGGCTATCGAAATCTCGGTGTGTAGTGCTTGGAGTGGTACGCGCGCGAGTGCACGCAGATGCGACGCTTCGGGACGCGCGTCAACGAGAGTGTCCGTCTGAGGTGGACCCTGACCATCGTCGAAAGATGTTGGTTCGATGAATGAGTTCTAAGGGTTCTGGTGTCGGATCATCAGTTTTGCCGGGCGGACAATCCCCGCGAGTTGGGAGACTGTTGCTCCTGTTGCTCGGCGCGGCAGGAGCCTCTTCCTCTTTGCCCTTCGACAGAGTTACACCTGTTACACCTCGCCGGCCGGTGGATCGTCGCGAAAACGTTTCGCAGGAGAGAACGGGAGGGACGTGCTCCGGTAATGGTCACGCACCGCGTAATCCCCGGCGTCGGCTCCCACGCACGCACGTAATCGCCGCTCGACTGGACGCGAGAGAGGACACGATGATGGAACTGGACGTAACCAAGCCGCTTCTTCCGGTATCGAGGAGCCGAGAGCCGACCGGGCGATCTCGCGATCTCGCGAGGGCATCGCGGGTGGTCACGAGTGATCGGCTGTAACGATGTCTGCGCTCTGTGGATCGCGTTGCATCGTCAGGACGAGGACGAGGACGTCAGAGGCGGATTCTACGGGCGTAAAAGCGCGGAAGTGGATCGACGTAGTATAGGTAAAGGGACACCCCCGCACGCAGTTGCGAGGCAACGGCGTGCCGCGCGTGCACGTGCGCGATTACGAAAGCGGCGGAGTTTGCTCCCTTGTCAGTTGGACGAATCTTGCTCGCGAATTGGTGGCCAACGATGATGCAAGGGTTGAAAATCGCTCTAGAGAGGATAACGCGTTTTGTTCGTAATTGCTTTGTGCGAACCTCGTACAAGTAATCGCCCCCTTCTCGCGGAAAGAAACGCGAATGGTAAGAGCTGTAGAAGGCGCCAAATAGAGAGATTTGATAATTACTACTCGTCGCTGAAAATCACAGAGTACAAGTGGAAAGTAAAAGAGAAAAAGTGCGAAGAATTTGATCAAGCAACACCGACATCACACGTCCAAGCATGATCAAAACGCTCGCATTAATCTCTATGATATTAAGAAAAGTGAAGGCCCATCTATCTAGCGCACTTGTTTTTCATTCATGCGAAGCATGGATTATGCGAGCATGCGCTTTGCTGTATCCGGTAATATTTCATTGTCTAGTGGAAGATTTATAGAGGATAGAGGTAGCTTTATGAAAGATGCAATATTAATAGTTTTTAAGTGCCCGGGTTGTGTGTGTGTAATAAGAACGTGTTGCAACCGCTTCCCTCCCCAGCCCTCCACCCTCTTTCTCACGACAATGTGCGAAACTTGAATCAGAATCAAACGAATAAGGTCGTACTTTGCCGTTTCCGATTAGCTCGATTACATCCCCGTGTCGTGCCGCGGAAGCATTACAGACAAAAGCCGGACATAAGCTCGGGGAGCAATATATCTCGACATACGTATCATCCCTTTTCCCATTGTGCATTGCACACTGTTTCCCGAAAAAGGCTCGGCAACGGCGAGGCAAGGCAAGGCAAGGCAAGGCGAGCAAAAGGGGGCGGCGGATGGGCGCAGTTACTGCTGATCGTTAAAAGGCGCATAAAAAAGGTAGAGGAGAAGGCGCTGGGTGGACGGGCGGGTGGATGGGTGGAGGGAGGTCAGAGGAAACGGCGCGAGAAGTAACAATAAAAATTCGTCGGCGTTCGTGTTTCGTCGCCGTGGTAGGAGCGGAGGGACGTGAGGGGAGCAAAGTGAGGAGTACGACGGGGGGTTGAAGCGAGGGGAGAGAGAAAGATAGATGGATAGAGAGAGAGAAAGAGAGGGAGGGAGGGAGAGAAGGGCGGTTGGGTAGTCGGTGGAGCAGGGTGCGTAATGAAACGATATTGAGTAGCCGTGGTAGGGAGGGTCGCTGCGAGAGGGTGGGGGTCGTCTTCAGCCCTCTCCGTCGATTGACCTCGCTTCGACGAGGCGAGGGTGGGAGCGAGCCAGGGGCGGACGTTGGTAGAACACGGTGGGGACCGTGGCTTGAGAGAGAAAGAGAGAGAGAGAGAGAGAGACAGAGAGAGTCGGATGCTCGAAGGGTGGGGGGGGGGGTTGTGGGAGGAAGAGGGGGCCTGTTAAATTGACGAAAATGACACGGCACCTTCTCTCCGTCCGTTTCCCTCTCGCTTCTCGTTTACCCCTTTAGTTCGCTTTTTTTACTCCCCTATTTTGACGACGCCCGGAAACCTCGAGGAACTTCAAAGTGACATTAGTACTCGAAGGACGAATGGATCGAAATAAATCGCGATACGCGAAAAGTTGGATCGGTGTGCGCGTAACATGTGGAATCTGAGAAATCCTACGGTACTGTCGATGAGAAAAAGAAGTAGGAATCGCTGTAAGATCTAATTGAACTTTTAATGTCGTACTACTTTGACCGCGCAGTTAAAATTAAACTAGACGATAAACTTTGAAATTGAATCATATTCCAAAAATTAAAATTTAATTGTAATAGCACAATAATGTTGTAATTCCGTAAAAATAAAGAATTGACATTCAGTTTTGCAATCATAAACAATGATAATTTTATGGATCTTTTTATCGTTATAAATAATTTTAAAAGAATATAGAATAAAACATGTAGGATTTAGTATTAATTCTCTCTCTTACGCGTTTTTACTTATTTACTAAAAAATATTTATATACATACTTAATAAAAAATTAATATTTATTTAATAATTCTTTTTTGGAAGAAAATAATCAAATTATATAAATATCGCATCCAACATTACAACTTTTTTAGTTTAAAGTTGGGATGAAACTAAATTTCCTTGCGAAATTTAAAGTAACGCATCGCGCTCGCACAAAAATTATTGTGTGTTTTAAAGTTTAAAAATTTCGCACAACTTTCCAAATAAAAAACTCATATATTAATCTAGGCGGACTCATCGCGGCAATTAAATCGTTCCGCTT